GGCACCTCCAGCTGGGCAGGAGCCGGGGAAATTTTGGCAGCTCCTGTATTGCAAATCTCCTAGCAGCTCTGATTCAGGGCTGTCTCTGCTGGTAGGCTCTGTAGAGTTGTTCTGACCGACAGCATCTGTGTTACTGACCCCTGAGCCAGGGGAGGTTTTGGTAGCTCCTCCCTGCCTGTGGGCTGCTTGCTGGCTGCACTGCCTGGACTCCAGCTCTGCAAGCGGGGATTTTCCATCCGAGAAAAGCAAACAGCTGAATGAAATAATAATAACCAACCTATAGCCTGTGTGCTCCTTCCACAGGGCTCCCGGCCAGCACCCGAGGGACTGGGGTTGAGGCTGGAAACCAGCACATCCAGAGTGACTGCCCTGTCCGCAGCGAGATGGAGAGACCACAATGAAATAGCGGCGTGCTGGCCACTGGCCCAGGTCCTTCAACACGTCCCAGGGAGGTTTTTCGGTGGGATGGTGCTCGCCCTGCCTTTGTACGCCACGGCAGACCTGCATATATGGGCTGCTGTTGCATATAGTCAGCAAGAGATGGGCCGTGCAAAGGTGGGATGGGGGGAGGCTCAGGAGGACGGGGCTGGGGGTGCAGCCCGTTGAGGAGCCCCTTGCCCAGGATCTGACATATGTTGCCACCGGCCAACTCATCAGTGGGTTCTTGGCACTGCTGGGCACTGTCCTAGTGAGAAGCACCCTCAAAGGTGGCTTATTGGCACTATTCACTGCTTTTTTGGGGGGAAAGAAAAACATTGCTCATCACACCACTCTTTACTGATAGCTGACCCTCAGAGAGCGTGTAAGCAGCTGTAAAAGACCATGCTCCCAGCCCAGGGGAAAACATAACTCAGTGAATACACCTCTTTATACAGGCATTTTCAAGCTCTGCACATTTCTGCAAGGTGTGTGATTCTCCCTCGGACAGCAGCCCGATAATGCTTTTGCCTGCTAGCATTGGCGGGAGATGGCTCAGAGAAGAGCACATGGCAGGGAGCGATGTTCCAGGCCCTCTTCCCCGGAGCTTCCCCCTCTCCATTTCTCAGCAAAAAGGTAAGAAATTGCACCTGGCTGGAAAAATCGCAATGACAGGAGTTTCTCAGCACACAGGCAGTGCTGTGTCCCCCTCCCGCCAGCGACAGCCTGTGGTCACATATGCCAGACCACCTGCCCTTTGCAGAGACTGGACGAAGTGGTGTGGAGACCGCAACCCCGTGGATCCACACTCCTCGCTGCCCCTCAGCCCTGGGGCTGCTGCCAGCCGGGAAAGTGGCTGCCATTCCCTGGGAGCCGTTGCCGGCATGGGCTGCTCCTGACCGATCCCGTACCTGCTGCCCCGCCAGCAAGCGAGCATCGTGCCTCCACCGAGCAGCACCACCGCGGCAGGGCCGGGAGAGGACAGCAGCTGAGCTGGCAAGACGCCCTTGCTTCGGGAGCTATTTTGAGATGTTTTTGATGTTTCTGTTGCAAGGGGGATGGATGCTGGGGCGAACGCCGTGATGGCACAGCCCGAGCTCCTTGCTCAGCTTTGAAGTCTCCCTGGTGGGGCATCCCAGCCTGACAGCCCACAGGTTTGGGGAAATGAGGGCAAAGGGACATGAGATGCTGGGGAGAGGCTGCTTGCCGCAGTGGCCTTGCCGCAGTGGCGGTGCAAACAGCTGCCTTCAAGCATCATCTCAGCATCCCAGGCTCAGCCGGCCGCTGACTGCAGCCCTGCTCCGGGGGGAATACAAGCTTCCCTCTCCCAGCTGTCCCTTCCTCTGGGTTTGTGTCACATCATCCTCCCATAGTCCCCAGCACCGTTGGCTTTGTTTGACTTTAAGGAGGCAGTTTTCTCTGAGGCACAGCAGCACCAGGGAGGACAGGGTCCCCTGCCCATGGCCAGTGGCACAGGGCTCATCGAGGAAGGGGAGAGGGGCAGCAGCACCCAGCTCAAACCCACCTTCTCTCAGCAGGGCCACTTACAGCAGTTTTTATGCCATTACTCGAGGCCAAAGTACAAAGGTGGCCAAACCCAGAAGTATTGCCATGGGCCGTGCCCCAGCTGTGGCTCTGGTGAGATGCCACCATGCACCATGATGACGGGGGGTCTGCTTTGGGAGTGTGGCCTCCAAGGCAGAAAAAGGAGGACCCAGCTATGTCCCCCCCAGAGCCCACCAGCAGCACTTCCAAGGGACGTTTGAGGATTTCTGCTGGAAATCTTCATTTTCATGGAAAAACATAGAAGTCTGGGGAGGGCTGGTGGCTTGCTGCTGTTCTCTGGTAAAGGTGACACTTTAAAGGAAAAAGTGAGTGCATTTGGTGGACAGCACCTGGATTAGATCTGAGTTTCCCCTGAGATGCAGCCCAACCACCTCTTACCTCCCGTGAAATTCTTCTCCATGTAGTCGATGATCTGGTTGTAATCGCTGATGATGTTGTCCCTGTGGATGATGACGGGCACCTCTTCCCCCAGGTTGAGCCGCATGAACCAGGGCTCCTTGTGCTCCATCAGGGGCATGCTGACGTCCCGCTCCTCACAGGGCAGTCCCTTCTCAGCCCCTTCTCCGCAATGCCCAGCCGCACCTGGGGCAAGATGCCAGGGAGAAAGGGCTCAGCTGCACACACCGAGCTGGCACTGAGCACCCCATCGTCACCCCATCACATTCCCCTGGCCCTCCCCTCTGCTTAAGCACAGCGATGTGCCATGACACACACTCGTCCTGCAAGAAGCCAAGCATCTCTTGGCATGGGGTAACTGCAAAATCCAGGCAGCCAAGCGAGGATTTCCCTTCCCAGCAAACAGGAGAGACCCAAGCCCATCCTAACTTTGCAGGATCATGGACCACCATCCTCCCACTGGTGACCCATGTGACAGGCGGAGTGGCCAGGGGGGCTGATGGGCTGCGAGCCCATCCCTTGGTAGCAGGTGAAGAGAGGCAGCAGCTCCCCAGCTGGGGGGGATCAGTGATGCTGCTGTGGGTCCCAGCACAGCACACACCAAACGAGGAAGAAGAAGAGGAAGAGGAAGAGCAAGCAGAGGCTGCAGTAATGCTTTGCCTTGCACCCAGTGGGTGCTACCACCTGGCTGAAGGAGGCTCTGGGTGCTAACTCAGGTATGTCCTATGCTTGAGGGTGGGCAATGGCTTTGCTAGGCATGTTTTGAGCAGGGAAAATGTTCTGTTTCATGGAGGGTTTCAAGCAGCCCCTAGCCAGCGTCCCTCCTGCTTCACGCTGCTGCCGGCCCCGCGGCACTGCCCACCACCTTTGCACCTCTTGTGCCAAGCCCCCTGCCCTCCTTCAGGCTCTGGGCCAGCAAGAGGCACTGCTGGGCTGGCACCCACGCGTCTCGTGGGTGGGAAAGGAGAGCCGTGGCGTGGAGGGGCAGGGGGAGGGGGGGGGCTGGATGCCGGGTACCGTCCCCACCACTCACGGGCAGCCCTCGGGGCTGATCCTGCTGCTTTGCACTGTGCTTGAGATGGAGTTGAATATGCACTCAGGGATGGCATTTTAGGCTTCTGGGTTATAAAAACCTGACTGTTATGAACTAAGTATGTCAAACAGGCAAAAAAACCAAACCTTCGGGGGATGTGAGACAGCCACGTTTTACAGCACCACTGAGCAAGGGAAAAGCGCTTCTTTTCCTCCAACTAGCAGCAGCTAAAAATACAACTTAACAAATATAAGTATTTCTATGAGTACTTGAGAGTTCGTGGGGAATTAGTCATTAATTATTTACAGAGCTGGCAGATTAATTTTTTCTTTTGAAGTCAAACAAGGAAAAGCCTGGGTCCTTCAACTGTAACTTGCTCTCAGCCTTTTCCTCCCAGCTGACGGATAAACCTCAGGCAGGACCACCCAGGGCATCTGTCTTCAAACTCCCCGCGCTTCCCTGTTCTGCTCTCAAGAGCCAAGGCCGAAAGCCTGGCAGGAGGCAGCTGCCGGGCACGAGGCAGCGTGGGCAGACGGGCTCAGTTCCCGGGGTAACCCTGGTGCCTGCGGGCGAGGGGAGCCCCTGACAGCACCCCAAGGAGGAGTCCCAGCTAGGAGTGACAAAACGTGCCCAGATGCCCCAGCTGGTCCCCACAGCTCCGGCACAGCTGTGATGAGGCATCTTGTGTTAAAATCCAATGCTGGCTGTAAAACTCCAAAAATTCCTTTGCAGGGAGGGCCAGATCCTGGTGGGGGCCCAGGATCACCCCCCCACAAACAGCCCCAGCATTGTGGAGGGTGGTTCTGAGCAGCTCCCCAGGGCACAGCAGGAAAAGCTTTGCCCACAGCCAGCTCTGAGCAAAACTCCTCTGCAGGGGGGTCCCACGCATCCCCACCGCTCCCTGCCCTGCGATGTCCATCACATGAGCTTGTGCTCATCCACCTCCTTGCAAGTGACCTCAAAACCAAAGCTGGAAGCAGTGCCAGTGGGTGCTGTCCCTCTAGGTGTGCCCTGCCCTGTCCCCAACATCCCCAGCATCACCACAGAGGTGAGGCCGGTTGTAGGAAACCCTGTACAAGAAGTGCCTTAACCACTGCCTCCCTGCTGCCGAGGGCCAAACGAACAAGACAAAAAATCACAGCAGGCAGGGAAGCCAGGCACGAGCATCCCTCGCCGGTGCGGATCCGAAGCCTGTTAGTCACACGCTGCCGGCAGAGGAAAACT